ATTATTATCAATTCCTTTACGTTCTAATGCGGTCAATTCAATGTTATTAGTCGTGCCCAGCACAACAGAACAGCTGCCAAGTCTCTGTATGTAACAGGTGCAATTTAATTTGATTTAAGGAATTTGGATTAATGTTATAATAAAAATAACAATATAAACATATAAAATATAATAATAAAATAATAATAAAATAGATAATATATAAATACAATATGCAATTGAATATGCAATAGATAATGAGGATAATATATAAATATGTAGTATATATATTTATATATATATTATTTAATTATTTACTATATTTGTATACCGCCTTTCTCAGTCCAAAGGCGACTCAAGGCGGTTTACAGTCGGCAACAATGTCATGCCCCAATACCATAAAATACTATTAAAAACGTTAGTATATAATATAAAACCATAGCAAGATCAATAAAAAAACATATAACATAAATAACTAATATATAATAATATATAAATATATAATAAAACAAATGATAATAATGAAATAAATATAATAATATAATTATTATATATTTATAAATATGTAATAAATATACAATAATATATTAACATATAATAAAACAAATAATGATAATAATGAAATAAATATAATAATATATATTAAATATAATAATATATATTTTATTATATAATAACTATATTTATAAATATGTAATAGATATATAATAATATATGGACATATAATAAAACAAGTAATGATAATAATGAAATAAATATAATAATATAATTATTATATATTTATAAATATGTAATAAATATACAATAATATATTAACATATAATAAAACAAATAATGATAATAATGAAATAAATATAATAATATATATTAAATATAATAATATATATTTTATTATATAATAACTATATTTATAAATATGTAATAGATATATAATAATATATGGACATATAATAAAACAAGTAATGATAATAATGAAATAAATATAATTATATAATTATATTATATATATTTATAAATATGCAATAAATATATAATATATAAATATTTAATAAAACAAATAATGATAATAATGATGAAATAAATAAATAAATAATTTAATATATAATAAAATATGAAATATAATAATAGTTATATATAGAAAATAGAAAATACTATAATAATAATAATAATAATAATAATAAGCCATCTACTGACCTGTCTGGTTCTCAGCTCGGGTCTCCATCGTTCCTTTTCTCCGCCTTGGAAATTCCTTCCAAAGAAACAATTTTCCTTCTTAAATTTTGCAAACTGACCAAAACTTCAGCAGCAGGGAGATTTTTATTCCCTAAGCCACGCCCCTGTCTACCCGCCCAGCCAATCAGAGGGGAGGTGGGCGGAGCAAGGCATTCTTAGTGAATGAAGCCCCTCTTCTCGGAAAGGAGTTTGCGCATGCGTGCGTTCCTGTTGTCAAATGGGAAATCCCCCATAAGGAACCCCCTCCTTAGAAAAATTTCTTGGACTCTCCATCAACTCCAACCCTGATTACTGTGGAGAGAATTAAGCTGGGTTTAAATAATAATAATAATAATAATAATAATAATAATAAATAAATATAATAATATTAATAATAATATAAAATAATAAATATAATAATAATAATAAATATAATAATAAATATTATTATTATTATAAATATAATGATAATAATAATAATAGACTTTGCAATAAGGAACCCCCTCCTTAGATGAATTTCTTGGACTCTAATTCCCATCAACCCCAACCCTGATTACTGTGGAGAGAATTAAGCTGGGTTTAAATAATAATAATAATAATAATAATAATAATAATAATAATAATAATAATAAAATAAATATAATAATATTAATAATAATATAAAATAATAAATATAATAATAATAATAAATATAATAATAAATATTATTATTATTATAAATATAATGATAATAATAATTACTTTGCAATAAGGAACCCCCTCCTTAGATGAATTTCTTGGACTCTAATTCCCATCAACCCCAACCCTGATTACTGTGGAGAGAATTAAGCTGGGTTTAAATAATAATAATAATAATAATAATAAAATAAATATAATAATATTAATAATAATATAAAATAATAAATATAATAATAATAATAAATATAATAATAAATATTATTATTATTATAAATATAATGATAATAATAATTACTTTGCAATAAGGAACCCCCTCCTTAGATGAATTTCTTGGACTCTAATTCCCATCAACCCCAACCCTGATTACTGTGGAGAGAATTAAGCTGGGTTTAAATAATAATAATAATAATAATAATAATAATAATAATATAATAATATTAATAATAATATAAAATAATAAATATAATAATAATAATAAATATAATAATAAATATTATTATTATTATAAATATAATGATAATAATAATTACTTTGCAATAAGGAACCCCCTCCTTAGATGAATTTCTTGGACTCTAATTCCCATCAACCCCAACCCTGATTACTGTGGAGAGAATTAAGCTGGGTTTAAATAATAATAATAATAATAATAAAATAAATATAATAATAATATAAAATAATAAATATAATAATAATAATAAATATAATAATAAATATTATTATTATTATAAATATAATGATAATAATAATTACTTTGCAATAAGGAACCCCCTCCTTAGATGAATTTCTTGGACTCTAATTCCCATCAACCCCAACCCTGATTACTGTGGAGAGAATTAAGCTGGGTTTAAATAATAATAATAATAATAATAAAATAAATATAATAATAATAATAAATATAATAATAAATATTATTATTATTATAAATATAATGATAATAATAATAATAGACTTTGCAATAAGGAACCCCCTCCTTAGATGAATTTCTTGGACTCTAATTCCCATCAACCCCAACCCTGATTACTGTGGAAAGAATTAAGCTGGGTTTAAATAATAATAATAAAAATAAAAATATAAAAATAAATATAATAATAAATATTATTATAATTATTATAAATATAATGATAATAATAATGGACTTTGCAATAAGGAACCCCCTCTTTAGAAGAATTTCTTGGACTCTAATTCCCATCAACTCTAACCCTGATTACTGTGGAGAGAATTAAGCTGGGTTTAAATAATAATAATAATAATAATAATAATAATAATAATAATATAAAATAATAATAAATATATAATAAAATATTATTATTATTATTATAAATATATTAGTATATTATATTATCTGAAATTATATAATAATATTATAAGAATAATAATAATGGACTTTGCAATCCAACAACATACATTTTATTGAAAGGAGGGCTTTTACATACACACATATACATTTTCACTTATCATAATAAATACAATAATAATAAATATCATAATAAATATTATTATTATAAATATATTATATTTATATATTATATTATATAAAATTAAATAATAATAATAATAATAATAATAATAATGGACTTTGCAATCCAACAATATATATTTTCTTGAAGGGAGGGCTTTTACATACACACACTTTTATTGTGTGTATAGATATAGATATATGAGTGCAAGGACATATTAGCTGAGGATTCTGGGAATTGCAATCCCCAAAATTCATCTCCCCAACTGGAATGGACATGAATTAATGCGGAGTAAATATAAAACACAATGCAGTTTGATACCACTTCAACTGCTATGGCTCAGTGTTATGGGATCCTAGGAGCTGTAGTTTGGCACTCTTTAGCAGAGAAAGCTAAAGGCCTTGTAAAACTACAGCTCCCACGATTCTATGGCTGTTAAACTATATTAATTCTGCAATTTATTTATTTGTCGTGTCAGAGTAACCAGTCCAATTCTGCAATGTAGATGCACCACTGTTTTGCAAAACATTGACTCTGAGTTTTGCAAAACAGTGCAGCAGCGCCCCCTTCCGGCCAGAGCCTTCCTAGCACCCGACTCAGTTCCTGCTTTGGAGCTGAATAATTTTAATTATCAAACGTTTGAAATTCTACCTTTAATAGATGAGAAAAGGGTATCCTAGGTCTTCTATTTGGCTTTGTTTCTCCATTGAGGCAGAAAAAGTGAGTGTAAGAGAAAGATTTTGAAGGGGGGGTAAAAAAACCACAACTTCCCATACCGGGAGTCGAACCCGGGCCGCCTGGGTGAAAACCAGGAATCCTAACCGCTAGACCATATGGGAGGCCATGAGAGTCAGTGTCTTTTTAGCATACATATTTCTTGCCATGTTCTTACATAGCAGTTCTGATTCATTAGATTGAGTTCAGGACACTGAGCACTCCTGGTACTGGGCCCAGTACCGGGTTCTAGTCCTTCCAAGTTCGGACTAGAACCCGGAGCGGATTAATATTTCTGCTCCTCTAGTATACTTTGTCACTGGTTGGTTGGACCCCTTCTACACTGAACTGGACTATATGGCAGTGTGGACTCAGATAAGCCGGTTCAAAGCAGATATTGTGGATTATCTGCCTTGATATAGAATCCTAGAGTTGGAAGAGACCTCATGGGCCATCCAGTCCAACCCCATTCTGCCAAGAAGCAGGAAAATTGCATTCAAAGCACCCCTGACAGATGGCCATCCAGCCTCTGTTTAAAAGCTTCCACCACACTCCTGGGCAGAGAGTTCCACTGCTGAACAGCTCTCACAGTCAGGAAGTTCTTCCTGATGTTCAGGTGGAATCTCCTTTCTTGTAGTTTGAAGCCAATATTCCACATCCTAGTCTATTCTGGGTTATATATATATATATATATATATATATATATATATATAGAGTCATATTCTGGGTTATATAGCTGTGTGGAGGGGATCATAGTGTTGCAAAGACGAGACAAGTCCCAACATTCCCAGCAACTCCAATTTCCTGCTCTCTCAAAAGGAAGCTAAACAAATACCCCAGTACTGGCAATTTTGCCCTGAAGCAGCATGGTTATTTCGGCTTCACCGCAAGGGGGCGTGATTGGGCGCTTCGGGCCGCTCTAGGCGCCTTTATTCCTCTCTATGACCACAAGCCGCACTCTAGTCACCTGACAGGCGGGTGGGTAGAAAGGAGAGCGAGCCGACGGGAAGCGAAAGCAACTGAGCTCACGTGACTGTCCCGAGGTGCTGCGGTGGGCGAGGCTGGGCTGAGGCGGCTCCTCGCGGGGCAGGCGGAGTACGTGAGGCCGAGGCTTTGAGGCCTAAAGCGGAAGGAGCCGGGGGCGGCTTCCAGGGCCGCGGACCTTCCTGCTGCTTCCTCCCTCACGCTCCCGCCGTTGCCGAGGCCGGTCCAGGAACAGAGGTGAGGGCTGGGTGGGTTTGTTGGGCCTATTGAGGCATGTTGAATGGTCTGCAGCCCTTAATGCAAGGAGGGCGCTCTGCACATGATCAGGGGCGCCCTTGCTCACTCAGCCGGCTTTATCCTATGAACCTAAAGGCTCTCCAAAAGGTAGCCTTCGACCAAGAGAAGTAACTTATTGGGGAAGTTACTCCCCTGAGGCTTGGAAGCTCTTAGAATCTGGGCCTCAATTTGGAGGCTTTTTTCAGTGGCCCTTTGGGCTATTTCCAAACGGGAAGGTATTATTATTGTTGTTATTACTACATTCTATAACACGACTTTTGTTCCTGAGTTATAAAAGTCATTTCCTAATTGGTTCTATCGTAACAGCATGGATTTTTTTTTTATTAAACTACAAAAATGTTTGTTGTCGCGGGAGGGACATCCTGCAGCACATTTTGCAATAGTTTTTCAATAGTATCTCATAAGAGTCGCAACCAATAATAATAATAATAAACCTTTATTTGTACCCCGCTACCATCTCCCGAAGGACTTGGTGCGGCTTACAAGAGGCCGAGCCCAAATACAACAATAAAAACAACAACAACAACACAAGTCAGCCATAGCAGAGCACCTGATGAACCAGCCTGGACACAGCATATTATTTGAGAACACAGAAATGCTGGACCACTCCAACAACCACCATGTCAGACTACACAGAGAAGCCATTGAAATCCACAAGCATGTGGACAATTTCAACAGAAAGGAGAGATAATGAAAATGAACAAAATCTGACTACTAAAATTACAACAGCAAAAAAACAGAGGAAACAACCAGGCACATCTTAACACCTCTCAACAAAAGATTTTCCCAGGCTCAGCCAGGCCTTCAAATGCTAATGAAGGTGGTCAGTTGAAACATTCACACCTAGCTCCAGCAGAGAAGAGCTCCTTGCCCCACCCCAGCCATTCCACAGATATATAAACCCATTGTCCTAATTCCAACAGACCTCACTACCTCTGAGGATGCTTGCCATAGATGCAGGCGAAACGTCCGGAGAAATGCCTCTAGAACATGGCCCTATAGCCCGAAAAAACCCACAAGAACCTAACAACACAATAACTCAAAAAACAAAGCAATAGCAAAGAATAGCAATAACATTAACAACATCCAATGACGCAATTAAAAACAATGGCTGGGCCAAATAATAATAATAATACTTTATTTATACCCCGCTACCATCTCCCCAAGGGACTTGGTACGGCTTACATGAGGCCAAGCCCACATTACATCAATAACAAAAGCAATAACAAAAACAATCAATACAATACAATTAATATAAATCACATAAACAATAAACAGTAACACACAACCAATTCAGCCTAGTTTGTAGCAGGCACAAAAACGAAGTTTCTGGAGTAGGACTACTACTTTTAAAGTAAGTACTCCATCATTAAACAGGAAATAATCCTTTCAAACCTGGAACAGAAAATGTTTAAAATTTTGTTACACAGTATTATTGATTCATGTGGGTTTGGAACACTATTCAACTTCAAATTAAGCCCCTGAAAAGTTTGGCAGAAATCAGGGTTCAGCCCCAAACCCCAGGAGCAAAAAGGCTGCTTTGCCAACTGACAGCTTCACAAGTCTGTTTTCTCATTTTTGGTGGAATATGAGATGTATTCAATGAACACACAGCCATTTCTCTGTGAAGAATGTATTTGGGGACCTGGCCAGAGGTAAATTTGGGGTATTTCCTTTTCACTGGTGTATTTATTGCAAGGCTTTTTTGGCAAGGCAAGATGGATGGATGGTATCTTTGAACTGACTGGCTCGACTTTGATGGAGGTGGCCACGGCCCACAGGGAGCTCTGGCGTGGGCTGGTCCAGGAGATTACAGAGTCGGAAGCAACTGAACAAATAAGACAACAACAACATTTATTGCCTAGGATGAAGGCCAACCGTCTGTAACTAGCTGTTGTTTGCAGACACCCTCACCAAAAAAGCCTTGCATCAAAAGCACTGCAAAGGCACAGCTGGCAGCCTTAATCTGCATTTCATCAGTTGATTTAAACTTGTATTTTAACTCTTTGTATCTTATATGTCTTTTAATTGTGTTTTATCTCTTGTTTTAATGAGGTAATATAGTCATTGTTATTAGGAGCCCCTGGTGGCACAATAGGTTAAACCCTTGTGTCAGCAGGACTGCTGACCAAAAAGTCGGCGGTTCGAATCTGGGGAGCAGGGTGAGCTCCTGTCTGTCAGCTCCAGCTTCTCATGCAGGGACATCAGAGAAGCCTCCCACAGGATGGGAAAACACCCGGGAGTCTCCTGGACAACGTCTTTGCAGACGGCCAGTTCTCTCACACCAGAAGCAACTTGCAATTTCTCAAGTCACTCCTGACACTAAAAAAAGCTATTATTATTCCACACTCACTGCCCATCCCTCTTCCCCTCTGCAGGTGTGGGATGCCGAACACCGCCATGAAGAAGAAGGTAGGATGGGCCTCATCTTTTTTAAGGGAAACCCTGAGAGGTACACCTTGTCTGATATATATATATACTGAGTCCGGCTCTCACTCAACCGCTAGGTGCTCTTGATGGGGAAGAGCGGGTCCGGCAAGACCAGTATGAGATCCATTATTTTTGCCAACTACATCGCGCGGGACACACGGCGCCTCGGAGCTACAAGTAAGCCTTTTTGCCCCTTTGGTCTTGGAGGCTGTTGTATTCTGTTGGAAAGCCTGGGATGACTTCCTTTCACCCCCTTCTGTACCTATATGTAGGGAAATAGCCATGGTTTCTTTCCAAAGAAAACCAGAGCAGATGTTGTCTGGATGCTGGATGAGAAACAGTGTCTGTGACGCCCCAGATGCAAATACAATGTAGGCATGTGTTCTTTATACAGATCCAGAGCCCAGACATGTGTTTCACTCTTCTTTGCTTGTCCCAGCTCCAGCTCCCCTTCTTTGTGCTCCCGTTCTCTGACTGACTTACTTTTAGGAACCTTTTTCTAATCCGGATCTTGGGTTTTGAAAGAGGGCTGTGTGTTTGGAAGAGGCCAGAATTGGTTCACATGTCTCATGTCTTGCTCTTTTGCAGTTGATGTGGAACACTCACACGTTCGGTTCCTGGGCAACTTGGTTTTGAACTTATGGGACTGTGGCGGGTAGGTACTTCTTGTTGACTCAAGATGTTCAAAAGAATGGGGCTAGTTGGAGGAAACCTAAAACACCATCCTAGAGAGCAGCTGGGCTGAGATGGAGAGGTCCAGACTTAAGCCAGACTGAGGCTAAACTCTTCTTAAACAAATATTTTTAAATATCTGAGAGGAAGTCCTAAGGAAATGGGAGCAGGCTTGTTTTCTGCTGCCCTGAAGTCTGGGAAACAAATGGCAGGAAAGGAGATTTCACCTAAACCTTGGGAAGAACTTCATGTCCATAATAAAACCTATTCAACAGTGGAACTCTCTGCCTCTGAGTTAGAGACCCTTTGAAGGTTTTTAAGCAGAGGCTGGATGATCATCTGTTGGGAGGGCTCTGACTGTTTCTTCCTTTATGGCAGAAGGGTTGGACTGGATAGTCTTTGGGGTCTTTTCCAACTCTATGAGACTAAATAATAATAATAATAATAATAATAATAATAATAATAATGGATAGTAAAATATTAGAAATTTTAGCTTCCTGGTTGGCATAAGGCGGTTGGACTGGATGGCCCCATGGGGTCCCTTCTGACTCTAGGATTCTATAGCACTATGTACCACAATGCTTGTTCCTGTGTTATAAATGTTATTTCCTAATTGGTTCGATCATAAAACCATGGAAAACGTTTATTATCTGTGGGACAACCTGCCGCACATTTTGCTATAGTTTTTCAATGATAATAATAATAATAATAATAACAACAACAACTTTATTTATACCCTGCCACCATCTCCTGGAGGGACTCAGGGTGGCTAACAAAGCACTCAAAGGTGCAAACATGCAAAATACGAAAATTGCAGAAACAATAATACAACAAAACAGCCAACATAAATATCTCACTTCACAAAACCCCCTGGTAAAATCAATAAAACACAGCAATAACTATGAGTATAATCAATCAGATCAATGTAAAGTGCTTGGTGAAATGTATGGATCTTCATGTATATTAATTAAAGGAACCTTAATATGGTCACAGGCATGTCGAAAAAACCATTTATTCCAATTGTGTACATAAGAATCTCAACCAATTTAATATACTTTGTGGCAGCCACAAAAATGAAGTTTCTGGAGGATGACAACTACTTTCATAGTAAGGAGCGCACAATTAAATAGAAAAGAACACTTCCAAACCAGGAACAGATTTTTTTCCCCCAAATTTTGTTACATAGTGTAATTCTATCTCAGATTGAGAGTCTTGTCTGCTCTACTTCTGAGTCAGGAGCCACGCTGAACTCAGCAGACTCATGGCCCTCTGACTTCAGAGCTGAGCATTACTTTAGGTTAGACACAGCTATGCGTCCTTCTCTTCCTTCCTAGGCAGGACACCTTCATGGAGAACTACTTCACCAGCCAACGGGACAACATCTTTCGCAACGTGGAGGTCCTGATCTATGTCTTCGACGTAGAGAGCCGGGAGCTAGAAAAGGACATGCACTACTACCAGTCCTGCCTGGAGGCCATCCTCCAGAACTCCTCCGATGCCAAGATCTTCTGCCTTGTGCACAAGATGGACCTGGTGCAGGAGGACCAGCGTGACCTGGTGAGGGGACCCAGGCCCAATAGCTCATTGTTGTCCTCAGACCTGTGAGGGATTCTGCTCCTTGTATTGCCTTTGGAGCAATTGCTATTTGGGATCATTCAGGGTCCCCCATTTCCCTCCTTTGCTAGATTTTCAAAGAGCGGGAGGAAGACCTGAAGCGCTTGTCCCGCCCGCTGGAATGCGCCTGCTTCAGAACATCCATCTGGGATGAAACCCTCTACAAGGTTGGTGCCTCTGTGTTCCCCTCCTATTCTGTGCTACATTTCCCCTCTTTCATGTGCTGCAGAGCCAGTTGTGCAGTTTCAAAGGGCCTTTGAATATTTATCGACTCTGACTCCCATAATGGAGCATTTTAACTATATCTATTAACTATGGCCCACTTGAGCCATAAGGAGGGATTTTTATAATTATTAGTACCCTGTTTGCTGCGAAATATATCCTAACTGGGAAATATGCCCTAGCATGATGATTTTTCAGGATGTTCATAATATAAACTCTACCCCAAAATAAGCCCCAGTTAAGATCATCAGCCAGACAGACACATTTACCATAGTATGTACATCCATTGCAACACATGACAAACTTATTGAATTATCCAATAATGTTAATAGATAATTAAATATAAATAAATGCTATTGATATTAATAAGTAAATGTTCATATACATTATATTTTAAGTATTTGTAAATATGTATTGTCGAAGATTTTCATAGCTGGAATCAATGGGTTGTTTTGAGTTTTCTTGGCTATATAGCCGTGTTCCAGAAGCATTCCCTCCCACATCTATGGCAGGCATCCTCAGAGGTTGTGAGGTCTATTGGAAACTAAGCAAGGGAGGTTTATATATCTGGAATATCCAGGGTGGGAGAAAGAACTCTTGCCTGTTGGAGGCAAGTGTGAATGTTGCAATTGATACCTTGATTAGCATTGCAAAGCCTTGCAGCTTCAAAGTCTGGGAGCTTCAAAGCCTGATTGCTGCCTGGGATAATCCTTTGTTGGGAGGTTTTAGCTGGCCCTGTGTTTCATGTCTGGAATTCAGCTGTTTTCAGAGTGTGTTCTTTATTTAGTGTCCTAATGAAGAAAATCTGGTTACCAGTATTTAATAAACTCTAAAATTAGGACTGTAAATAAAGAGTAACACTAAAAAACAGGGGAATTCCAGGCAAGAAACAATCAGGGCCAGCTAACATCTCACCATAAAGGATTCTCCAGGCAGGAAGTAGCCAGGCCTTGAAGCTGCAAGGCTTTGCAATGCTAATCAAGGTGATTAATTGCAACATTCAGGCTTGCTTCCAACAGACAAAAGTCCTTTTTCCCACCCTGGACCTTCCACAGATATACAAACCTCCCTTGCATTAGATTTGATGGTGCATTAGACTTGAGTCAATACGGTACCTTGTAATGACCCTGAAGGGGTGGAGGGCATAGAGCAGTGGTTCTCAACCTGGGGGTTGCGACCCCCGGGGGGGGGTCGCTTGGCCATTTTGGAGGAGTTGCGAGGTCACCTCCTTTGGCCCTGCCCCCCTCCTCAAAATGGCTCCCCACAGGGCCCAGGCCCTGCCCCCCGAGCTGGGTGACCCAAATCTGTGGAAGTCAGAGGTACTGTAGATCCCATCATCCATTGTCCAAACTCCCCAAAACATGTTGTTTCCCTGATTAATCACTATGCTTTAATTATGTTCAATTTGTAACAATGAAAATACATTTACATTACGATTCATAACAGTAGAATAATTACAGTTCTAAAGTAGCAATGAAAATTATTTTATGGTTGGGGATCACTACAACATGAGGAACTGTATTTCGGGGTCACAGCATTAGGAAGGTTGAGAAACACTGGCATAGAGGATTTCCTGGCATCCCAGGGAAGGTGTGGGTTGACGATGCAGACTCTGAACTGCTTCTGGTCTTCTCTCGGGACAGGCTTGGTCCAGCATTGTCTACCAGCTGATTCCCAACGTCCAGCAGTTGGAGATGAACCTCCGGAACTTCGCACAGATTATTGAAGCTGATGAAGTCCTTCTCTTTGAAAGAGCTACGTTCCTGGTGAGCGAGGCAGGGTCCCGCTGCTCTGGGACATCCTTGGGACCTACAATGCACCAGAACCAAGGGACACCTTTCAGGAACCATCACACCTCACTGTAAATTGCTGACTTTTAGGGTTTTTTATCCTTTTTTGCTCCTCGCAGGTCATCTCTCACTACCAGTGTAAAGAGCAGCGTGATATCCACCGATTTGAGAAAATCAGCAACATCATTAAACAGTTCAAGCTGAGCTGCAGGTGAGCATGGGATAGATACATATATTTTTAGGATGAGACAGATTACCTTCCCGCCGTTATCTTCCTGCAGAAGTGGTACCTATTGGTCTACTCATATTTGCATATTTTCAAACTGCTAGGTTGGCAGAAGCTGGAGCTAACAGCGGGAGCTCACCCCACTCCGCAGATTTGAATTGCCAACCTTTCAGTCAGCAAGTTCAGCAGCTTCATGGTTTAACCTGCTGTGCCACCAGGGGGCCCAGTGTGCTAATACATTTTATTTATTATCTGCCTCTCCTGATGGCTCAAGACGGGATACAACAAATTCCAAAGCATATGAACATAAATATATATACAATTAATTATATAGATTAAAAAACAAAAATATAAAAATGTGTACCAAACGCAGATACAGAATTGACATATAATCGCAACAGAATGTAAATAATTTTTTTACCAAAATGATATATTTTTAAGTTTAAATTACCTATTTTACCATTTGTGTCCTTTTCGTGGGGTGAACATTTACACCTTTATGTGTTTAATTTTAGCCACTTTGCATACCACTGTTAAAAGCATGATACAACCCAATACAATAATGATTGCATTACTAAGCTAAACTTGACACTAGCATGGGATTGAGTGAACGGACTGACCAGTCGGGACAGGATGTGTGTGTGTGGGGAGGAGGGGGGAGAGAATATATCTCCTTTGGGAGAAATGGGAGAGTAAAGGGTGTGTATGGAAGTCCAGCTCATTGGCACCCCCGTCTGCTTCTCCTTCCAGTAAGCTGGCTGCCTCTTTCCAGAGCATGGAGGTCAGGAATTCCAACTTTGCTGCCTTCATCGACATCTTTACCTCCAACACTTACGTGATGGTTGTCATGTCGGACCCTTCCATCCGTAAGTTTGAAAGAAACCCTTGGGGTCCCCTCTAGAGGAGAGTCTGAAGTATAAAGGGGCATTTCCAGGGGTTAAGGACCACTGAGAGGCCTCGCATTACCCTGTTTACTTGAATCTCATGCTCAACTTTTCACGCTCAACTTTTTGGGCTAAATGACCTCACTAAAATGAGGGTGCACATAATAGAGAGATGCATCTAGCACACAGCCAGCTCTTATTTATTTACGGTATTTATATGCTGCCTTTCTCACCCCTAGGGTTATAATGCAGTTATAATTAATTGTATAATGTTTCTTGGAACCATACATTGCAACTGGTATTAGAGTGCTGACATTGGGTTAGAATATTGTAATTTGGTTTGCTTAAGGGGGATGTCAGGAAGATGGATGGCATAACTCCTTGGGAACTTCAAGGAGACTGCTGATGTCTCCAATTACTTTTTTATCTGGTCTTATCAACCAACCCACATAACTTTGTGAACTTTCATTGGCTTTTGTCAATCAATGTGGATGTTTTATGTTGAGATTTTATGTCATTATATAATTTTGTTTGGTTACGTTTTGTTTAATTTAGTGATGGTGGTTTCTAATGTTGTTTTCATATGTGGGGTTTTTTTGGGGATTATGATGTTAGTACTTTTTTGCTCTATCGGCGGCATTGAATGGTTGCCTTTGTATGTTGGAATTTGCCCTGAGTTCCTCCCGGGGAGATAGGGCGGAATATACATACAGATTATTATTATTATTATTATTATTAGAAACACAAGATGAGTCCACAGCAGACAAGATCACTCTGCTGGCTGTGGTATTGGATCACACGTCGGACGGTTCCCAAGTGTCTAGAACTGTGTGATGTATCAGCGAATAATGTGTTCAGATCCCAGTAAGGTGGCCTTCTGCAGATGGTAATTTTGTCAGCGCCAATTGTGTTTAAGTGCAGGCCAAGGTCTTTAGGAACTGCACCCAGTGTGCTGATCACCACTGGAACCACCTTTACTGGCTTGTACCAATAATAATAATAATAATAATAATAATAATAATAATTATTATTATTATTATTATTATTGTTATTATTGTTATTATTATTGTGTTATACGGTCATCTTGGTGCTAAGCCAAAGCAAAAGGGGAGGCTGCTTCAGGAGAACCAAGAGCTCCTATTTGAGGGATCTCATCCCTAATTTAATGGCCATGGCTCAATGCTATGGGATCCTAGGATTTGTAGTTTAGAGAGGCATCAGCATTCTTTGACAGAGAAGCCTCAAGGCCTTGTCAAACTACATCCTCCATGACTTAACAGTATTGAATCAAGGCAGTTAGAATGGATCCATTCTACAGCATTAATGCACCCTAAGGTTTTCATTGCCATTCCTGAAAGCTTTGGTGTTGTAACTATTTAGTTTTTAAAGAAGGAGTTCTAAGCAGACAGCAACTGCAATGTGCCCCTTTTTGGGCCAAATGACAAAGAGTGCACTTTTCATAGTTGTGCATTATGTTTGTCAGCAGAATGCTTTTTTTAGTTTCAGGATTTTTAAAATGTGTGCATTAGATTTGATGGTGCATGAGATTCGAGTAAATACTACATTTGCTTTTCTTGAGTGCCACTTTGCAGTTTGGTTGCTACCCCTAACACCCTTTCTGTCTGTCTATTGCCTGGTCCCCTTTTACCCTTGTTGTGTGCCACCCTCCCTGGACAAATCCTGTTGGGCGAATGTTTTATTAATGAAAGGTCCTTTCCATAAATGTACAGGAGAGTAACTTTTCAGCAGCAGCATGACCAAGCACCAGTAGCCCAAAGTGATAAAAAGAATAAAAACACAGAGACCAATGTTATCTCTTCCTTAGGAGGCTTTTCTTGCTAGTAAAATAATATCATTACACTATTTACAAGAGGAAGGTTTCTATAAAACAAAAAAAGTCCTTTATACTTCCTTTACAGAGCTTTACAGAGTAGTTTTTTTTTACACACATAAGTATTTATACATTGGAGCTTCACACATGAAGCTTTACACACAAGGCTTTCAACCTGGGGCCTCTTTCACTGAAGCTTCTCATACCAGGCCTTCCTCATACTCTGCCTTCTCATAGACTTAAGACAGGCATGGACAAACTTGGGCTYAAGCGGCTGAGGGGGAAAAGGAAGGGGCCCGAGACTGTGAGGAATTGTGGAGGTTGAATTTCGAAACATRGCCAAAGTTTGCCCATGCTTGCCTTAGTCTCTGAGAAGACAGAGTATGAGGAAGTCCTGGATTAAGGCCTACTTCACACTGTGAGGCCTACCTCAAAGACTGAGACCTTTCTCCCACTGAGAGAAAGACTGACAGCATTAGCTTTGGCCCACTGACTTAACAGGCTACRGCCTACCCGCACTCCTCAGGACRACACTAGCTTTGGCCCATTGACTCGTAACAGACTTTGGCCTATCGCTCTCCTCAGGACGACACAAGCCTTGGCCCACTGACTCTTAACAGGCTTTGGTCTACTTGCTCTCTTCAGGATGACACTAGCTTTGGCTCACTGACTCTTAACAGGCTTTGGCCTACTCACTCTCCTCAGGACGACACTAGCTTTGGCTCACTGACTCTTAACAGGCTTCGGCCTACCCACTCACCTCAGCACGACACTAGCTTTGGCCCACTGACTCTAACAGGCTTCGGCCTACTCACTCTCCTCAGGACGACACTAGCTTTGGCCCACTGACTCTAACAGGCTTTGGCCTACTCACTCTCCTCAAGACGACACTAGCTTTGGCCCACTGACTCTTAACAAGCTTCGGCCTACTCACTCATGTCAGAACGACACTAGCTTTGGCCCACTGACTCATAACAAGCTTTGGCCTACTCGCTCTCTTGAGGACAACACTAGCTTGGGCCCACTGACTCATAACAGGCTCCGGCCTACTCGCTCTCCTCAGGACAATACTAGCTTTGGCCCACTGACTCTTAACAAGCTTGGGCCTACTCGCTCTCTTTAGGACGACACTAGCTTTGACCCACTGACTCATAACAGGCTTTGGCCTACTTGCTCTCCTCAGCTTGGGCCCACGGACTCTTAACAACCTTTGGCCTACTTGTTCTCAGCTTTGGCCCACTGACTCTTAACAAGCTTCGGCCTACTCACTCATGTCAGAACGACACTAGCTTTGGCCCACTGACTCATAACAAGCTTTGGCCTACTCGCTCTCTTGAGGACAACACTAGCTTGGGCCCACTGACTCATAACAGGCTCCGGCCTACTCGCTCTCCTCAGGACAATACTAGCTTTGGCCCACTGACTCTTAACAAGCTTGGGCCTACTCGCTCACCTCAGGACGACACTAGCCTTGGCTCACTAACTCTTAACAGGCTTTGGCCTACTCACTCTACTCAGAACGACACTAGCTTTGCCCCACTGACTCTAACAGGCTTTGGCCTACTCACTCTCCTCAGGACAACACTAGCTTTAGCCCACTGACTCTTAACAGGCTTCGGCCTACTCACTCTCCTCATGATGACAGTAGCTTTGGCCCGCTGACTCGTAACAGGCTTCGGCCCACTCGCTCTCCTCAGTACGACACTAGCTTTGGCCCACTAACTCTTAACAAGCTTCGGCCTACTCATTCTCCTCAGGACGACACTAGCCTTGGCCCACTGACTCTTAACAGGCTTTGGCCTACTCACTGTGCTCAGGACGACATTAACTTTGGCCAACTGACTCTAACAGGGTTTGGCCTACTCACTCTTCTCAGGACGACACTAGCTTTGGCCCACTGACTCTTAACAAGCTTCGGCCTACTCACTCTCCTCAGGACGACACTAGCTTTGGCCCACTGACTCTTAACAGGCTTCGGCCTACTCACTCTCCTCAGGATGACACTAGCTTTGGCTCACTGACTCTAACAGGCTTCGGCCTACTCACTCTCCTCAGGATGACACTAGCTTTGGCCCACTGACTCTAACAGGCTTCGGCCTACTCGCTCTCCTCAGGACAACACTAGCTTGGGCCCACTCACTCTAACAGGCTTTGGCCTACTCACTCTTTCAGTGCTTGATACACACTCTTGTAATAAAAAATACCCAATTAATTTTTAATATTTTAATATGAATATTAATTTTTAATATTTTAATATTGCTGCCCGAATGCACTCATGCCTGTTCTCCTCTCCCTCAGCCTCTGCGGCGACGCTGATCAATATCCGAAATGCCCGGAAGCATTTTGAGAAGCTGGAGCGAGTGGACGGTCCCAAGCACAGCCTGCTGGTCCGTTGAATGGCGGAAGGAACTGCCCTTTATTCTGTGGAAACACTCTCTTTCTCCTCCCCGCAGCCTCTCTCTCTGATGCTGCGGGTGTCTGTTCTGTGGGCTTTGAAATGCGTGTCCTGCTGCTCCCCCACCGCCATCTTGTCCTTTTCCTGGCCAGCTCCATGGACCTTTGGGAGCGGCCTCCTGCAGCTTTGGGGAGAGGCGCAAGGTGGGACCTGGCCCCATTATCACATACAGCAGTGATGCCTTTTTTTGCTCTCTCCTACACGGTGAGATACGACAGAGATGGGACGTGTGCTGTTTTATCAACACCTCGACTAGAACACCTTTATAAATCTACTTCTTCTTGTCTTCAATCATGACAATAAATTTTGTTACCAGGGATTTGGTCTTTCTAGAGCTCTGGAAGTCTGTCTGTTGCTCAATGGTTTCGGCCTAATTTTGGCCCCAGGGTCCGCTTGTGGCAGATGTAGGTCTCCATTTTTTCAGATGGGTCAACTGACATACATCCAGTATCCTTTATCCAAAGGGCTTGGGGTCAGAAGTGTCCTGTATTACACTATTTAACACTGTTTTTGTTCCTGAGTTATAGATGTCATTTCTCAATTGGTTTTTATCATAACACCATGGAAAAAAATTATTAAACTGCCAAAACGTTGTTTCTGCAGCACCATTTGCTACGTATAGTTATTCCATGAATAGCTCATTGAGTCCTAACCAATTCAACATAGGGTTGCTGTGAGTTTTCTGGGCTGTCTAGCCATGGTCCAGAAGCATTCTCTACTGATGTTCCCCCTCATCTATGGCAGGCATCCTCAGAGGTTTTGACCAGGCACCTGGAAATGTGGGTTGTTGTAGGTTTTTTTTCGGGCTATATGGCCATGTTCTAGAGGCATTCTCTCCTGACGTTTCGCCTGCATCTATGGCAAGCATCCTCAGAGGTAGTGAGGTCTGTTGGAACTAGCAGAAAGGGTTTATATATCTGTGGAATGACCAGGGTGTGACAAAGGACTCTTGTCTCCAGCAGACAAGAGTCCTTTGTCCCACCCTGGTTATTCCCCAGATATATAAACCCTTTTTCCTAGTTCCAACAGACCTCACTACCTCTGAGGATGCTTGCCATATATGCAGGTGAAACGTCAGGAGAGAATGCCTCTAGAACATGGCCATATAGCCCGAAAAAACCTACAACAACCCAGTGATTCCGGCTATGAAAGCCTTCGACAATACATTGAGGCAAGTGAGGTTTATATATCTATGGAATAGTGTCCAGGGTGGGAGAAAGATCTATTGTCTGTTTGAGACTAGTGTTAATGTTGCAATTACTCACCTTGATTAGCATTGCAAAGCTTTGCAGCTTCAAGGCCTGGCTGAATCCTTTGTTGGGAGGTGTTAGCTGGCCCTCCTTGTTTAATTCTGGAATTCCCCTGTTTTTTGGGTGTTAGTCTTTATTTACTGTTCTGATTTTAGATTTTTTTTAAAAATACTGCTATCCAGATTATATTCATTTTCATGGTTTCCTCCTTTCTGTTGAAATAGTCCACATTCTTGTGGATTTCAATGGCTTTCTCTGCCATACTAATACTAATCAAGGTGATCAATTTCATCATTCACACTTGCCTCCAACAGACAAGAGTTCTTTCTCCCACCTTCGACCTTTCACAGATATATAAACCTCCTTTGCTTAGTTTCCGATATACCTCACAACCTCTGAGGATACCTGTCATAGATGTGGGTGAAATGTCAGGAGAGAATGCTTCTGGAGCATGGCCATACAGCCCAGAAAACTCACATCAACCCAGTGATTCTGGCCACAAAAGTCTTCAACAACACAAATGTTTGTTTATTTGCCAAAAGTTTGTTTCTGGGTGACATCTAGCAGCACATTTTGCTATAGTCATTCAATGAATATCTCATCAAGTCCTAACCAATTTAACATAGTTCTAAATTAAGTTTTTAGAAGATTCATGGGCAAACTTTGTGGGAATTGAAGTCCAAAACACCTGGAGGGCTGAAGGTTGCCCATGCTTCTAGAACAACTACAGTAGAGTCTCGCTTATCCAGCCTTCGCTCATCCAACATTCTGTATTATCCAACACAGTTTGCCTCCCGCCCGGATCCACACCTGTTTCAATACATTGCGACGTTTTGGTGCTAAATTTGGAAAAACAGTAATTACTACACAACGTTACCGTGTATTGAACTGCTTTTTCCTGTTGATTTGTTGTAAAACACGATGTTTTGGTGTTTAATTTGAAAAATCATAACGTAATTTGACATTTAATAGAATTTTCTTTAATCCATCCTAATTATCCAACATTTTCGCTTATCCAACGTTCTGCTGGCCCATTTATGTTGGATAAGCAAGACTATACTTTCAAAGTAAATACCACGCAATTAAACAGAAAATAACTCTCAAACCAGGAACAGAACATTTTAAAAATGTTACATAGTGATATGGGTTTTGGAATAACTATTTTTTCATATGCATATGAGATTATTTCCATATGCATATGAGATGTATTTGCATATTCATATGAGTTGTCTAAACAGATAGTTTTAATGTGGCATTTTTGCTCGTTCATTTATCATATCCTCAGTTCCATTTCGGGGTAGAAATCCCTTGTGTATCCATTGCATTACAAGATGATCAAATTAAACAGATGACACTTAAAAGCAGGCCACACGAAGCCTATCTTGCATAATTCCATGAACTAGGAGAAGTGGGGAAAAGAAAGTGGAGTAACATTCCCTCAATGCCTTTCACTCGAGAGGAGAGATGGATGGAGTCAAAGTGGGGTATAAATAATAATAATATTAAACAAGGGACAGTCTGAGAGTCGTCTCATTTCTTGCTCTGGAAATGTTTGCCGAATTCTGAACTCTGTTTTCCTCCTGAGACATGGATTTATTTTGCATCAACACATCCCCCAGAGGTTTGCTAAATTGGACGAAAGCTAGGATCCCAATTATTTTAGCCATGACTATCCAAAAGAGCCGCAACTATGCTTGAGACCTGTCTCTTGTGCTGGTTGCTCCCATCACTCCCCAGTATGGACTACAAATCCCAGAATCACTGTTTTTTGAAGCTGCACTGCCACTCTGTGGACTTCTATGGAATCACATTGTCTCCTAACTTCACTGTTCATTGCAAACTCAGGAGAGCCTAGGTCTGAATGCATCCTATGCAGTGGCATAGTGGATTAAATCCTTGTGCTGGAAGGTCAGTGGTTTGAAACTGTGAGACAGGGTGAGCTCCTGTCTGTCAGCTCCAGCTTCCCATGCAGGGACATGAGAAGAACCTCTCACAGGATGGTAACACATCTGGGCGTCCCCTGGGCAACATCCTTGCAGATGGCCAATTCTCTCACCAGAGGCAACTCCAATTTGCCTCTGACATAATTTTTAAAACTCAGACCCTGGATATAATATCCAAGGGCCAAACAGAGACCCCCAAGCTCTGTACAACCATGTGCTGTATTTGCTGTCAAATGCAGAGTTTTTAGTTGCACCCAAGAACTTGCCCAGGCTCCTCCAAGGTACCCAGGAGGCCCCGCCCCTGTGCCTGGGAGGCCACGCCCCTTTGCAGGTGCTGCCTGCCTTAGTGGACTCCTCTGTCTGTGGCTCAGCTCCTCTTCCTCCCTCCAAACCCGCATGTGAGTTGAGCCATTCAGACGTGTGCCTGCCCCCTCCTGCTTTCCCTTTCCCTTTGTCTCTCCCCTTTGTCCCTGCCTGCCTGCCTCTCACCTGGGAGCCAAGCCCAAAGGGGCGTGGCCAGGCGGAGTGGGCGTGGCCTGCGGAGGCGCGACTCCCGCCCCTCCCCTCCCGGCAGCAGAGGTGGCCCCACCCGCCCCGCCCCTCGCCTGAGTGACAGCCCGAGGAGGGTGGGGCCTCTGGGTGGGGCCAGGAGGGAGGGGCGGGAAAAGAGGAGGAGGAGGGCGCCGGAGAGAGAGAGAGAGGAGCCACGCCACCGAGGGGCTGCTCCCCGCCTGCTTCCAGGGTCCCGCAAAGTGAGTCCACGCGCGGAGATGGGGTGGGTGGGTGTGGGAGTGGGTGGATCAGAGAAAGCCATGCATCTCCTTCCAATCCTTGGGATCAATTATTCCTCCCTCCCTTTCCTTTAAGGTGCAAGCTCCACTCTTCTTCCTCTCCTTTTCCTCCTCGTCTTCCTCGGCGGGGGGAGGAGAGCACTTCCTGCAGAGGGGAGGGAGGGGGAGGGGGGGGAGAGGGGGAGGGAGGGGAGGGAGCCACGCCCACCCTAAGTGGGCGGGGCGGAGGTGCTGCAGAGTTGACAGCCGGCAAGGAGGGAAGGGGGCGGGGCCACAGCAAGGACTTGAAGGTTAGGGCACAAGGAGTGGGATTGGGGGGGGGGGGTCCTTCCTCCACCTGGCAAGACCTGGCCCCCCTCTCTTCCTCCTCTGGCTCCCCTTCCCCCTCATCCTGTCCAGTTCCAAAATCAGGGCAGTCAATAAAGAACAACACTCCAAAACAGGGGAATTCCAGACAAGAAACAATCAGGGCCAGCTAATCACCTCCCAACAAAGGATTCCCCCAGGGAGTAAGAAGCCAGCTCTCTGTATGTGTGTGTGTATGCTAGGGGTTGATTTGGGAAGGCATCCTAATGATCCTCAAAAATCAAGACAGTAAATAAAGACTTAGACGATCCCTCGTTGGCTGAATAGGACAGTCTTCCAGGATAATCTTATTTGTTCTCCAAATAAAGAACAACAATCAAAACCTGGGGAATTCCAGACAAGAAACAATCAGGGCCAGCTAATCACCTCCCAACAAAGGATTCCCCCAGGCAGTAAGAAGCCAGCTCTCTGTATGTGTGTGTGTGTATGCTAGGTGTTGATTTGGGAAGGCATCCTAATGATCCTCTAAAATCAGGAAAGTAATTAAAGAACAACACTCCAAAACAGGAGAAGAAACAATCAGGGCCAGCTAATCACCTCCCAACAAAGGATGCCCCCAAGCAGTAAGAATCCAGCTCTCTGTATGTGTGTGTGTTGATTTGGGAAGGCATCCTTATGATCCTCTAAAATCAGGGCAGTCAATAAAGAACAACACTCCAAAACAGGGGAATTCCAGACAAGAAACAATCAGGGCCAACTAATCACCTCCCAACAAAGAACAGTAAGAAGCCAGCTCTCTGTATGTGTGTGTATGTGTGTGCAAGGTGTTGATTTGGGAATGCATCCTAATGATCCTCTAAAATCAAGACAGTAAATAGAGACTTACTTACTTAGGCGATCCCTCGTTGGCCGAATAGGACAGTCTTCCAGGATAATCTTATTTGTCCTCCAAATAAAGAACAACACTCAAAACCCGGGGAATTCCAGACAAGAAACTATCAGGGCCAGCTAATCACCTCCCAACAAAGGATTCCCCCAGGCAGTAAGAAGCCTGCTCTGTGTGTGTGTGTGCTAGGTGTTGATTTGGGAAGGCATCCTTATAATCGTCTAAAATCAGGACAGTAAATAAAGAACAACACTCCAAAACAGGGGAATTCCAGACAAGAAACAATCAGGGCCAGCTAATCACCTCCCAACAAAGGATTCCCCCAGGGAGTAAGAAGCCAGCTCTCTGTATGTGTGTGTGTATGCTAGGGGTTGATTTGGGAAGGCATCCTAATGATCCTCTAAACTCAGGACAATAAATAAAGAACAACACTCAAAAACAGGGGAATTCCAGACAAGAAACTATCAGGGCCAGCTAATCACCTCCCAACAAAGGATTCCCCCAGGAAGTAAGAAGCCAGATCTCTGTATGTGTGTGCTAGGTGTTGATTTGGGAAGGCATCCTTATGATCCTCTAAAATCAGGAAAGTAATTAAATAACCCTCCAAAACAGGGGAAGAAACAATCACGGCCAGCTAATCACCTCCCAACAAAGGATTCCCCCAGGCAGTAAGTAGACAGTATGTGTGTGTGTGTGTATATGCTTAGGTGTTGATTTGAGAAGGAATCCTAATGATCCTCTAAACTTAGGAAATTAAATAAAGAATAACACTTCAATCAGGGGAATTCCAGACAAGAAACAATCAGGGCCAGCTAATCACCTCCCAGCAAGGAACCAGCTTATTACCTCCCAGGCAGTAAGAAGCCAGATCTCTGCATGTGTGTGTATGGTAGGGGTTGATTTGGGAAGGCATCCTTATGATCCTCAAAACTCACGACAGTAAATAAAGAAGAACACTCCAAAACAGAGGAAGGAACAATCACGGCCAGCTAATCACCTCCCAACAAAGGATTCCCCCAAACAGTAAGAAGCCAGCTCTCTGTATGTGTGTGTGTGTGTGCTAGGTGTTGATTTGGGAAGGTATCCTAATGATCCTCTAAAATCAGGACAGTAAATAAAGACTTACTTACTTAGGCGATCCCTCGTTGGCCAAATAGGATAGGATAGGCAGTAAGATGCCAGCTCTCTGTAGGTGTGTCTGTGTATGCTAGGTGTTGATTTGGGAAGGCATCTTTATGATCCTCTAAAATCAGGGCAGTCAATAAATAACAACACTCCAAAAAAGGGGAATTCTAAACAAGAAACAATCAGGGCCAGCTAATCACTTCCCAACAAAGGATGCCCTCAAGCATTAAGAAGCCAGCTCTCTGTATGTGAGTGTTGTATGCTAGGTGTTGATTTGGGAAGGCATCCTAATGATCCTCTAAACTCAGGGCAGTAAATAAGGAACAACACTCCAAAACAGGGGAAGAAACAATCAGGGCCAGCTAATCACCTCCCAACAAAGGATTCCCCCAGACAGTAAGAAGCCAGCTCTCTGTATGTGTGTGTGTGTATGCTAGGTGTTGATTTGGGAAGGCATCCTAATGATCCTCTAAAATCAGGAAAGTAATTAAAGAACAACACTCCAAAACAGGAGAAGAAACAATCAGGGCCAGCTAATCACCTCCCAACAAAGGATGCCCCCAAGCAGTAAGAATCCAGCTCTCTGTATGTGTGTGTAAGGTGTTGATTTGGGAAGGCATCCTTATGATCCTCTAAAATCAGGGCAGTCAATAAAGAACAACACTCCAAAACAGGGGAATTCCAGACAAGAAACAATCAGTGACCACTAATCACCTCTCAACAAAGGATTCCCCCAGGCAGTAGGAAGCCAGGTCTCTGTATGTGTGTGTGTGTGTATGCTAGGGGTTGATTTGGGAAGGCATCCTAATGATCCTCTAAACTCAGGACAGTAAATAAAGAACAACACTCCAAACCAGGGGAATTCCAGACAAGAAACAATCAGGGCCAGCTAATCACCTCCCAACTAAGGATGCCCTCAAGCAGTAAGAAGCCAGCTCTCTGTATATGTGTGTGTGTATGCTAGGGGTTGATTTGGGAAGGCATCCTTATGATCCTCTAAAATCAGGGCAGCAAATAAAGACTTACTTACTTACTTAGGCGATCCCTCGTTGGCCAAATAGGATAGTCTTCCAGGATAATCTTATTTGTCCTCCAAGTAAAGAACAACACTCAAAACCAGGGGGATTCCAAACAAGAAACAATCAGGGCCAGCTAATCACCTCCCAACAAAGGATTCCCCCAGGCAGTAAGAAGACAGCTCTCTCTATGTGTGTGTGTGTATGCTAGGGGTTGATTTGGGAAGGCATCCTAATGATCCTCTAAACTCAGGACAGTAATTAAAGAACAACACTCCAAAACAGGAGAAGAAACAATCAGAGCCAGCTATTCACCTCCCAACAAAGGATTTCCCCCAGGCAGTAAGAAGCCAGCTCTCTGTATGTGTTTGTGTATATGCTAGATCCTCTAAAATCAGGGCAGTCAATAAATAACAACACTCCAAAAAAGGGGAATTCTAAACAAGAAACAATCAGGGCCAGCTAATCACTTCCCAACAAAGGATGCCCTCAAGCATTAAGAAGCCAGCTCTCTGTATGTGAGTGTTGTATGCTAGGTGTTGATTTGGGAAGGCATCCTAATGATCCTCTAAACTCAGGGCAGTAAATAAGGAACAACACTCCAAAACAGGGGAAGAAACAATCAGGGCCAGCTAATCACCTCCCAACAAAGGATTCCCCCAGACAGTAAGAAGCCAGCTCTCTGTATGTGTGTGTGTGTATGCTAGGTGTTGATTTGGGAAGGCATCCTAATGATCCTCTAAAATCAGGAAAGTAATTAAAGAACAACACTCCAAAACAGGAGAAGAAACAATCAGGGCCAGCTAATCACCTCCCAACAAAGGATGCCCCCAAGCAGTAAGAATCCAGCTCTCTGTATGTGTGTGTAAGGTGTTGATTTGGGAAGGCATCCTTATGATCCTCTAAAATCAGGGCAGTCAATAAAGAACAACACTCCAAAACAGGGGAATTCCAGACAAGAAACAATCAGTGACCACTAATCACCTCTCAACAAAGGATTCCCCCAGGCAGTAGGAAGCCAGGTCTCTGTATGTGTGTGTGTGTGTATGCTAGGGGTTGATTTGGGAAGGCATCCTAATGATCCTCTAAACTCAGGACAGTAAATAAAGAACAACACTCCAAACCAGGGGAATTCCAGACAAGAAACAATCAGGGCCAGCTAATCACCTCCCAACTAAGGATGCCCTCAAGCAGTAAGAAGCCAGCTCTCTGTATATGTGTGTGTGTATGCTAGGGGTTGATTTGGGAAGGCATCCTTATGATCCTCTAAAATCAGGGCAGCAAATAAAGACTTACTTACTTACTTAGGCGATCCCTCGTTGGCCAAATAGGATAGTCTTCCAGGATAATCTTATTTGTCCTCCAAGTAAAGAACAACACTCAAAACCAGGGGGATTCCAAACAAGAAACAATCAGGGCCAGCTAATCACCTCCCAACAAAGGATTCCCCCAGGCAGTAAGAAGCCTGCTCTCTCTGTGTGTGTATGTTTGGGGTTGATTTGGGAAGGCATCCCAATGATCCTCTAAAATCAGGGCAGTAAATAAAGAACAACACTCCAAAATGGGAATTCCAGACAAGAAACAATCAGGGCCAGCTAATCACTTCCCAACAAAGAATTCCCTCAGGC